CAGAGTAACGCCAGCTACAGAGGACTACAAATCCCAGCAATAGTACATTATACAGCGCAATGCAGAATACCGCCAGCTATAATGTACTATTGCTGGGATTTGTTGTATTCCTCTATAGCTGTTCTGCATTGCGCTGTATAATGTACTATTGCTGGGATTTGTAGTCTTCTATAGTCGGTGCCATTCTGCATTGATTGCTGTATAATTTTACACTTTCCTTTTCACTATATTGCACACCACACTATATTTTTTTATTTTTTACTTCCACCGCTCCAAGCTTGCTCCTGTGATGGAGTGCAATCTCAATACAAACTAGTAGTCCATCACTGGATCCATTTTTTAAAATTTATTTTATTGTTTATCCGATTAACCGATTAATCGAACTTAATAATCGGCTAACTAATCGATTTTGAAAATAATCGTTAGCTGCAGCTCTACTTTTCACTAGAAGCAAGAAGTCCTCAGTACCATGTGTCTTCTGGTTCAGCCACTGCAGGAAAACACTGTTGAACAAGAGTTTCTCAAGTCCCGTTGGATGTGGATCCTGACTTCACAATCAGACTTCTAAGCAAATTTTGGGTTCGAGTTTAAAAATCCCAACTTCTAGAGTGGGCCTTTTTGAATGGCAGAGCACAAGAAAAGGCAAGATATTATCAACCCTGATCTGTGTAGGCTCTTGTTAAAGAGCCCAAGAAGTGCTACATCTAATCAAGGTAATGGGTCGAGTGTGGGCTTCGGCAGTCTAACCCCCGCTGACATCATCACGTCTAATACAGTCCATTCACCTTTACTAGACGTGAGGATGCTGAGGGACATACCACAGCTGGAGCGGAGTGGGAAAAAGGTGAGCAGTCACTACCGCAAGACCAAGGATCAGGTGAGTAGATCTTCTGAATGCCGGCCCCTAGAGGAAAACAAGCAATTAACCCTTGCAGTGCGTGGGCAGCCCCACTGCAAGGGTTAACTTTTTATACACCTGGCGTTCTTCTTTGAAGGAGAAAAAAATTAATACTCACCTAAACCTCAAATCCGGCTGGCTGTGACAGTGCTCACTCCAACCTGTCTCCTCCTCCACTGCAGCGATGGTATGTCCCTCAGCGTCCTCACGTTCTAAGAGCCAGCTCCGAGGAACAGGTGGGTATAACTTTTTTTTTACCTAGACAAAAACAAGCCCTTAACTCTTCTAGTGTGTGTGTGTGTGTGTGTGGAGGGGGGGGG